AGCCAAGGGGAGACCTTGCCATCATGCCTCCCCTCTCTTGATGCTGCAGGGAGAGCCTCAAAGGAGAGAAGGGCCCTCCAGGCAAGGCCTGGCTTACACTCCCTGCTTCTGAGGCCCTTCCCATGTTTATTGATGGTGTGTTCATTGTTGGTAACAGTTTGCCCAGGTTAGTCCAGAAACAGGGTTGGATGGGTAAGCTGTGGTTCAAGAAGGCCTTTTTTTTGGGGGGGGGGGTTGAGGTGCCCTCGGAAAGGGTGCCCCCAAACTGTTCTTCCCTGGATTGCTGAGAAGAGCTGTGCAGAACATAGGAAATAAGAGCTGGATTGCTRTGCAGAACATAGGAAAWAAGGATTATTCTTCCTTAGCCTTCAAATTGCCTTTCTATTAACTGTTCAAAGTATGGATACATTTGGGGAAGAGACATCCTGTGTGTGCGTATATATATATATATATATATATATATATATGTATTTTATGTGCATAATATGTGTGTATATACATATATATGCATATATATATATATATATATATATATATATATGTTATGTGCATATATGTTATGTGCGTGGGTGTGTATATATGTTATGTGCCTATATATATGTGTATATATGTGTGTATATATATGTACATGTGTGTGTTATGTGCATAAAGATAGATATGTATGTATATTATGTGCATATATATGTGTGTGTATATATATGTATCTATATATGACATATATCTATATATATATGTATATATGTGTTGTGCATATATATGTGTATATATGTTATGTGCATATGTATATATATGTGTGTGTATATGTATGTATATATGTGTTATGTGCATATGTGTGTAAATATGTATATATATGTCATGTGCATATATGTGTGTATATATTTGTATATATGTGTTGTGCATATATGTGTATATATAGGTATATATGTTATGTGTATATATGTGTGTATATGTATATATATGTATGTATATATGTGTTATGTGCATATATGTGTGTACATATGTATGTATATATGTTATGTGCATATATATGTGCGTATATATATGTTATGAGCATATATGTGTGTATATATATGCATATATGCGCGTTTATATATGTGTGTTATGTGCATATATGTGTGTATATATGTATGTATATATGTTATGAGCATATATGTGTATATATGTGTGTGCTATGTGCATATATGTGTGCGTATATATATGTTATGAGCATATATGTGTGTATATATATATGTATATATGCGTGTGTTTATATATGTGTGTGCTATGTGCATATGTGTGTGTGTGTATGTTATGTGTATATGTGTGTGTATATATGTATATATAATGGGCATGTATATATGTGTGCAATGTAAAGACTTTCTGTATATATTTCAGATTTCAATATTAATGTCAAAAGTAGGTAGTATGATTTTACATAGGATTTGTGCTACATTAGAACACTAAAGACACACGTGCATATAGATAGATATGTGTATGTGTGTAAATATGGATATGGGTATTAATGTATATATGTGATATATAAAAATATCTGACATATATATCATAACACATGCTATATATAATGTAGTTTGAACGACCTGACAATGGCATCTGGGTGAGATGTGGTCCTGGGGATTCGAGGAGTCTGGACTGCCACAGAATTCCGTGGCGTGCAGCTCATCCGCATTCTGGGACTGCCTTCCATAGCCGAGTCGACGGGGCCTCGATGTGTGTCTATCAATGTCTGTGGGTATGAGATGTATGTGGAATGGCAGGGATGGAGCGGGCTTCTTTGCTCTCGCCTCTCCCGCGGCCGAGCCTCCCTCCGCGTGTCCTGCGTTCCGACGAGCAGGGCCTCGCGTGTTCGCTTCGGGCCGGGTTTGGCGCCTCGCGTTGGTTTCCTTCTTTCGGAGGGGACGCAGAGGAGGCTTTGGTTTGCGCTCCGAGGGCGTCTACAAGGTGGTCGTGAAATTATTTCAATCGCGGTTCCCTTTGGGCGTTGGGGAAAGCAAGGCCCGCTCTTCCCTCCGCCGAAATGAGAATGCGTGACGCGTGTTTCCCCGTGTTGTGAACTGTCCTGGTTTGCAAGGTTTCTCCGGGGCTGGGATTTCGGGCAGAGAAGGAGGAGAGAGAAGGAGAGAGGCCGGGGAAAGAGGAGAAGGGAAGAGCAGGGGCCCTTTCCTTCCTTCCTTCCTTCCTTCCTTCCTTCCTTCCTTCCTTCCTTCCTTCCTTCCTTCCTTCCTTCCTTCCTTCCTTCCTTCCTTCCTTCCTTCCTTCCTTCCTTCGGCACTGCCAGGCGAGGGAACAGCTCTGCACGCAGAAAGGGGTCCCCAAAACCTCTCCAAATGCGCATTGAAAAGGATCCGCACTGTGCTTGGAAAGGGCTCCCTCCAACCTCTCCAAAGGCGCTCGGAATGAGGTTCCCAAAACCTCCCCGACCTCTCCAAACGGCCTCTCCGTGCGCTTTGAAAGAGGCCCCCCAGAGTTAGGAAAGGGCTCCCCAAAACCTCTTCAAGTGGGCCTCCAAAGGGATCTCCGACCTCTCCAAAAGGCACTTAGAAACGGGGCCCCAAACCTCTCCAAAGGGCCTCTCTGGGCGCTTGAAGAAGAGTCCCCAAAACCTCTCCAAAGGGCCTCTCCGTGGGCTTGGGAAGAGGCCCCCAAAACCTCTCCAAATGCCCGTCGAAAAGCCCCCCAATGTACTCGAAGGAGGGTTCCCAAGGGTCTCTCTATGCGCTTGAAGAAGCGCCCCAAAACCTCTCCAAAGGACCTCTCCGTGGGCTTGGAAAGAGCCCCCCAAAACCTCTTAAAACGCCTTCGAAAAGCCCTCCAATGCACTCGAAGGAGGGTCCCCAAAAACTCTCCAAATGGTCTCTCTGTTGGCTTGGAAAGAGCCCCCCAAAACCTCTCCAAATGCCCTTCGAAAAGCCACCTCCAATGCACTCGAAGGAGGGTCCCCAAAAACTCTCCAAATGGTCTCTCTGTTGGCTTGGAAAGAGCCCCCCAAAACCTCTCCAAATGCCCTTCGAAAAGCCCCCCATGCACTCGAAGGAGGGTCCCCAAACCTCTCCAAATGGCCTCTCTGTGGGTTGGAAAGAGCCCCCCAAAACCTCTCCAAATGCCCTTCGAAAAGCCCCCAATGCACACGGAGGGTCCCCAAACCCTCTGTGCGCTTCAAAAAGGGTCCCCCAAACCTCTCCAAATGCCCTTCGAAAAGCCACCCAATGCACTCGAAGGAGGGTCCCCAAACCCTTCAAGAAGCGTCCCCAAAACCTCTCCAAAGGGCCTTTCCGTGGGCTTGGGAAGAGGTCCCCAAAACCTCTCCAAAGGGCCTTTCCAATGCACTCGAAGGAGGGCCCCTAAAACCTCTCCAAATGCCCTTCGTAAAGCCCCCCAATGCACTCGAAGCAGGAGCCCCCAAACCTCTCCAAAGGCTTGGGAAGAGGCCCCCAAAACCTCTCCAAACGCTTTCGAAAAGTCCCCCAACCTTTCCAAACGGCCTCTTGGAAAAACCTCTCCAAGTCCCTTTTGAAAAGAGTCCCCCAACCTATTTTCAAAGGGGATTTGGAGAGGTTTTTCCAAGAGGCCATTTGGAGAGGTTGGGGGACCTTGGGAAGAGGTCCCCAAAACCGTTTCCAAAATGTCCTTCGAAAAGCCCTCCCCCTAACTTTTTTTCTCTGCGATTGAAAGGGGGGGGGGGCGAAAACTTCTCCAAATGCTCCCAACAGCTCCCAATCTTACCAAATGGCCTCTTGGAAAGGGTCGCTAAAACTTCCCCAAAAGTGCCCTTGAAAAGGGTCCCCAAAACCTCTCCAAAGGGCCTTTCTGCGGGCTTGGAAAGAGGTCCCCAAAACCTCTCCAAATGCCCTTCGTAAAGCCCCCCAATGCACTCGAAGCAGGAGCCCCCAAACCTCTCCAAAGGCTTGGGAAGAGGCCCCCAAAACCTCTCCAAACGCTTTCGAAAAGTCCCCCAACCTTTCCAAACGGCCTCTTGGAAAAACCTCTCCAAGTCCCTTTTGAAAAGAGTCCCCCAACCTATTTTCAAAGGGGATTTGGAGAGGTTTTTCCAAGAGGCCATTTGGAGAGGTTGGGGGACCTTGGGAAGAGGTCCCCAAAACCGTTTCCAAAATGTCCTTCGAAAAGCCCTCCCCCTAACTTTTTTTCTCTGCGATTGAAAGGGGGGGGGGGCGAAAACTTCTCCAAATGCTCCCAACAGCTCCCAATCTTACCAAATGGCCTCTTGGAAAGGGTCGCTAAAACTTCCCCAAAAGTGCCCTTGAAAAGGGTCCCCAAAACCTCTCCAAAGGGCCTTTCTGCGGGCTTGGAAAGAGGTCCCCAAAACCTCTCCAAATGCCCTTCCATGCACTCGAAGGAGGGTCCCCAAAACCTCTCCAAATGTCCTCTCCGTGGGCTTGGAAAGAGGTCCCCAAAACCTCTCCAAATGCCCTTCGATGCACTCGAAGGAGGGTCCCCAAAACCTCTCCAAATGGACCTTTCTGTGGGCTTGGAAAGAGGTCCTCAAAACCTCTCCAAATGTCCTTCGATGCACTCGAAGGAGGGTCCCCAAAACCTCTCCAAATGTCCTCTCCGTGGGCTTGGAAAGAGGTCCTCAAAACCTCTCCAAATGCCCTCCGATGCACTCGAAGGAGGGTCCCCAAAACCTCTCCAAATGTCCTCTCCGTGGGCTTGGAAAGAGGTCCCCAAAACCTCTCCAAATGCCCTCCGATGCACTCGAAGGAGGGTCCCCAAAACCTCTCCAAATGTCCTCTCCGTGGGCTTGCAAAGAGGTCCCCCAAAATATCCTTCGAAAAGCCCCCACGACCTTTCTCTCTGCGCTGGATGGAAGGTCCCCAAACCTCCCCAAAACCCTTTGCAAAGGGTCTCTCTCTCTGCGCTGGAAGGAGGGAAACCTTTCCGAACCCCGAACCCCATCTTTCCTGCTTTTCTTCCGGGACTTTCCCCCTCTTCCTTCCTTCCTTCCTCTGCTCTGACTGGGCTTTGTTTTGCTCCTTCTCTTCCAGGTGTGGTTCCAGAACCGGCGCTCCAAGGAGCGGCGCATGAAGCAGCTGAGCGCGTTGGGGGCCCGGCGGCACGCCTTCTTCCGCAGCCCACGCCGCATGAGGCCGCTCGTGGACCGGCTCGAGCCCGGAGAGCTGCTCCCCAACGGGCCCTTCGCCTTCTACGGAGGTGGGTCGCGGACTTGGGCCGGCGGGGAATGTGGGGCGGCCTCTCCAGGGGGAGAAAGACGCAGAGAAAGAGAGAAAGAGCTTGGCCTAGGCCAGAACTTGCTGCTCTCTCTGAGTCCAATCTCACTCTCTGCAGAAGCACTCAGGCCCCCTCCACTCTCAACCTCCCTAATGCCTTGACCCCTTCATGCAGCCCCTCTTGTTGTGGTGACCCCCAACCATCACATTATTTCTGTTGCCATTTTGCTACTGATAGCAATTGTCATGTAAATCTCTGAAATGCAGGATGTATTTTCATTCACTGGACCCAATTTGGCACAAATACACAATACACCCAAATTTGAATACTGGTAGGGTTTGGGGGGGGGGGGGTCATTTATGATTTTTTGAGTTGTAGTTCACCTACAACTGGGAGTGTCTTATTTCCAACACAGTATTTTCTGTTGGTCATGGGAGCTCTGTATGGGAAGTTTGGCCCAATTCTGTCCTTGGTGGAGTTCAGAATGCTCTTAGATTAGAGGTGAACTATACATCCCACCAACAACAACTCCCAAATGTCAAGGTCTATTTTCACCAAACTCCACCAGTGTTCACATTTTGTGTATTTGTGCCAAGCTGGTCCAAATCCATCATTGTTTGAGTCCACAGTGCTCTCTGGATGGAGGTGAACCACAACTCCCAAACTCAAGGTCAATGCCCACCAAACCTTTCCAATATTTTCTGTTGGTCATGAGGCATCTGTGTGGGAAGTTTGGCCCATTTGGGCATATTGAGTATTTGTGCCAAGTTTGGGCCAGGTCCATCATTGTTTGAGTCCACAGTGCTCTCTGGATGGAGGTGAACTACAACTCCCAAACTCAAGGTCAATGCCCACCAAACCCCTTCCAGCATTTTCTGTTCATGATAGGAGTTCTGTGTGCCAAGTTTGGTTCAATTCCATTGTTTGTGGAGTTCAGAATGCTCTTTGATTGTAGATGAACTATACATCCCAGCAACTACAACTTCCAAATGTCAAGGTCTATTTTCTCCTAATTTCACCAGTGTTCAAATTTGGGCATATTGAGTATATGTGTCAAGTTTGGTCCAGATCCACTGTTGTTTTGACTCCACAGTGCTCTCTGGATGAAGGTGAACTACAACTCCCAAACTCAAGGTCAATGCCCACCAAACACTTCCAGTATTTTATGTTGTTCATGAAGCTTCTGTGTGGGAAGTTTGGCCCAATTCTATTGCTGGTGGAGTTCAGAATGCTCTTTGATTGTAGGTGAACTATGAATCCCAGCAACTACAACTCCCAAATGCCAAGGTCTGTTTTCCCCAAACTTCACCAGTGTACAAATTTGGGCATACTAAGTATCCATGCCAAGTTTGGTCCAGAACCATCTTTCCTTTGACTCCACAGTGCTCTCTGGATGTAGATGAACTACAACTCCCAAACTCAAGGTCAATGCCCACCAAACCCTTCCAGTATTTTATGTTGGTCATGAGGCTTCTCTGTGGGAAGTTTGGCCCAACTCCATCGTTGGTGGGGTTCAGAATGCTATTTGATTGTAGGTGAACTATAAATCCCAGCAACTACAACTCCCAAATGCCAAGGTCTATTTTCCCCAAACTCCACCACTGTTCACATTTGGGCATATTGAGTATTCGTGCAATGTTTGATCCAGATCCATCATTGTTTGAGCCCTCAGTGCTCTCTGGATGTAGGTGAACTATAACTCCAAACTCAAGGTCAATGCCCACCAAATCCTTCTAGTACTTTCTGTTGGTTATGGGAGTTCTGTGTGCCAAGTTTGGTTCAATTCCATTGTTGGTGGAGTTCAGAATGCTCTTTGATTGTAGGCGAACTATAAATCCTGTAACTACAACTCCCAAATGACACAATCAATCCCATCCGTATTCAAATTTGGGCATATTGGGTATTTGTGCCAAATTTGATCCAGTGGATGAAAATAATCCTGCATATCAGATATTAACATGATGATTCATAACAGTAGCAAATGACAGTTATGAAGAAACAACGAAAATAATGTTAGGCTTGGGGGTCACCACCACATGAGGAACTGTATTAAAGGGTCACGGCATTAGGAAGGTTGAGGAACACTGTTTTAAGTTGATCCAAGTGTGTGGCTGTTTGCCACTTTGCGAAGAAAGGCAAGGTATAAATCAACCACMACAACAACAACAACATAGCTGTGTTTTCTCTCTAAGAAGAGGGCCTATTATTGATTATTATGATTGTGGGTTGTTGTAGGTTTTTTTCGGGCTATATGGACATGTTCTAGAGGCATTCTCTCCTGACGTTTCGCCTGCATTTATGGCAAGCATCCTTCAGAGTTTGTGAGGTCTGAACTCACAACCTCTGAAGATGCTTGCCACAGATGCAGGCGAAACATCAGGAGAGAATGCTTCCCTAGAACATGCCCATATAGCCCAAAAAAACCTACAACAACCCAGTGATTCCTGCCATGAAAGCCTTCGACAATATATTATGATTGTAGTTACTATAGCCCCATTTTTCCTCTCTCGAAAGAGACCCACAGCAATCAACAACACTAAAAACTGTACAAACACCGAAATAGGATTCAACATGAAAATTATTTAAAATAGAGGGTTAAAACAATTTTAAAACCTAGTAACGTATCGAAAACATTACACAACACCCCCTGGCTCAGTCTGCGGTAAATCAGTCGTGGTGAAGTGTGATGTCCCAGTTTTGAGAGAAAAGGAGGGCGTAAATGGAATATATAGAGCGAGCAACAGGGAAAAAAGTGTCGTATCACAATGTGTTGTCGGAGGCTTTCATGGCCGGAATCAGAACCATGGACACGGCATATTATTTGAGAACACAGAAATGCTGGACCGCTCTCAGAACCACCATATCAGACTATATGGAGAAGCCACTGAAATCCACAAGCATGTGGACAATGTCGACAGAAAGAAGGAAACTGTGAAAATGAACACAATCTGGCTAAACTCTGAAATCAGGACAGTAAATAAAGAGCAACATTAAAAAAAATGGAAATTCCAGACACGAAACAATCAGGGACAATGAACACCTCTCAACAAAGGATTCCCCCAGGCAGGAAGCAGCCAAGGTTTGAAGCTGCAAGGCCATTCAATGCTAAACAGGTTGGACCTTTGCAACATTCACACTTGCCTCAAGCAGGCAAGAGTTTATATATTTTACAGATATATAAACTTCACTTGCCTAGTTTCCAACAGACCCCACAACCTCTGAGGATGCCTGCCATAGACGTGGGCGAAATGTCAGGAGAGAATGCTTCTGAAACATAGCCATATAGCCTAGAAAACTCACAGCAACCCAGACAAGAGTCCTTTCTCTCACCCTGGACATTATTCCGCAGATATATAAACCCCACTTGCCTAGTTTCCAACAGACCTCACAACCTCGGAGAATGCCTGCCATAGATGTGGGTGAAACGTCAGGAGAGAATGCTTCTGAAACATGGATAAATAGGTACTGCTCTGGCGGGAAGGTAAATGGCGCTCCATGCAGTCATGCTGGCCACAAGACCTTGTCTATAGACACCTTGGAGGTGTCTATAGAGAACGCTGGCTCTTCGGCTTAGAAATGGAGATGAGCACGAACCCTCAGAGTCAGACATGACTGGACTTAATGTCAGGGGAAAACCTTTACCTTAGGTTGTCAGAAGCTGGGACTAATATCGGGAGCTCACCCTTTTTCCCAGATTCGAACCGCCGACCTTTTGGGGCTTTTTGGACCATAATAAAGTTTGATTGATAGAACATTGGCACCAAAATGGTTGAAAATGGAAACGAGATCTGTGGCAGGACACCATGAATCCTACAGAGGAAGGAAGGAAAGGAGTCAACCATAGTACCATAGAGTTGGAGGAAACATCAAAGGGCCATACAGTCCAACCCCATTCTGACATTCAGGAAAATACAATCGATAGATGAGCATCCAGCCTCTGCTTAAAACCCTCCAGAGAAAGAGACCTTTGGGAGTTGTAGTTGCTGGGATTGATAGTTCACCTACAATCAAAGAGCATTCCGAACTCCACTGATGATGGAATTCAACCAATCTTGGCACATAGAACTCCCATAACCAACAGAAAATACTGGAAGGGTTTGGTGGGCATTGACCTTGAGTTTGGGAGTTGTAGTTCACCTACATCCAGAGAGCACTGTGGACTCAAACAATGATGGATCTGTACCAAACTTGGCACGGATACTCAATATGCCCAAATGTGAGGATTGGTGGAGTTTGGAGGAAACAGACCTTGACAGTTGGGAGTTGTAGTTGCTGGAATTTATAGTTCATCTACAATCAATGAGCATTCTGAACTCCACTGATGATGGAATTCAACCAGACTTGGCATACAGAACTCCCATAACCAACAGAAAATGCTGGAAGGGTTTGGTGGGTATTGACCTTGAGTTTGGGAGTTGTAGTTCACCTACATCCAGAGAGCACTGTGGATGCAAACAATGATGGATCTTGACCAAACTTGGCATGGATACTCAATATGCCCAAATGTGAGCACTGGTGGAGTTTGGGGGAAACAGACCTTGACATTTGGAAGTTGTAGTTGCTGGAATTTAAAGTTCATCTACAATCAAAGAGCATTCTGAACAGCACTGATGATGCAATTCAACAAAACTTGGTACACAGAACTCCCATGACCAACAGAAAATACTGGAAGGGTTGTGTGGACATTGACCTTGAGTTTGGGAGTTGTAGTTCAACTACATCTGTGGACATAAACAATGATGGATCCGGACTAAACTTGGCACGGATACCCAATATGCCCAAATGTGCGCACTGGTGGAGATTGGGGAACATAGATCTTGACATTTGGGAGTTGTAGTTGCTATGATTTATAGTTCACCTACAATCAAAGAGGATTCTGAACTTTACCGATGATGTAATTGAACCAAACTTGCCACACAGAACTCTCATAACCAACAGAAATTGTTGGAAGGGGTTTGGTGGGTATTGACCTTGAGTTTGGGAGTTGTAGTTCACCTACATCCAGAGAGCACTGTGGACTCACACAGTGATGGATCTGGACCAAACTTAGCACGAATACTCAACATGCCCAAATGTGAGCACCGGTGGAGTTTGGGGAAAACAGACCTTGACATTTGGGAGTTGTAGTTGCTGGGATTTATAGTTCACCTACAATCATTGAGCATTCTGAACTCCATCCTTTGACCATTTTGTCCACCTTTCTCTGAACATGTTTCATCTTGTCCATATCCTCCTTGGTTTGTGGACACAGGGTTATACCAGTGAGGTCTAACCAAAGCCGAAAAGAGTGGGACTAGGGCAATGATGGGCAACCTTTTGAGCTTGGTGTGTCAATACTTGCCAAAATAACGAGCATAATTCGGGTGGGGTGTCACTTCGAGAAAAAACCCATAATTTCATGATATTTATAGTTTAATAAAAATATATTATTGTAATATATAACTATATTTAATAAACCAAAAACTATATCTCGGCATTATAGAAAAATGCTGGTGTAGGAGCTGAGGATGAAATGTCCTTCTTGGGATGTGGCCCCATCTTCTCTGTATGTGGCCACATGCGACCGTGTGTCATCGAAAATGGCTATGCCTGTCAGTGCTGACACACGTGTCATAGGTTCGCCATCATGGGACTAGGGTGTCCTTTGATGGTCGCCTTGACGTAGCGTAGAATCACCTTGGCTTTTTTAGCTGCCGCATTACATTGTTGACTCATATTCAGCCGCTAAGACTCCTGGATAGGAATTGTGGGAATTGAACTCCAAAACACTGGAGGGCCCAAGTTTGCCCGTGCCTGGTTTAGTGGATTAACGGCTGCCTGTTCTTGAACCTGACTTTATGCCAACCGTTCTCTCTCTTCCGTCCTGCAGATTATCAGAGCGAATACTACGGACCCGGGAGCAACTACGACTTCTTCCCGCAGGGACCCCCTTCCTCGCAGGCCCAGACGCCGGTGGACCTCCCATTCGTGCCGTCCTCGGGCCCCTCGGGGACGCCCCTGGGGGGCATGGAGCACCCTTTGCCGGGGCACCACCCTTCCAGCGAGGCCCAGCGTTTCACGGATATCCTGTCCCACCCGCCGGGCGACTCACCCAGCCCGGAGCCCAACTTGCCCGGCTCCTTGCACTCCATGTCCGCGGAAGTCTTCGGCCCCAGCCCTCCGTTCTCCTCGATATCCGTCAACGGCGGGGGCAGCACCTACGCGAACCACTTGTCCCATCCGCCCGAAATGAACGAAGCCGCCGTATGGTAGCTTTGAACGGCAAGGCTGGGCTTGGACCTGAGTAGCGGCCGACCTCCATCTTCGCTTATCCTGAGAGGTGTACAGACGTGTCGGACATTCCTTTCGCCCCTGCCCTAAGACAATATATATATATTGTGTTTTTCGGGGGGCTAAAAGGATTCTCTTTTGCCCGGTTTTTCGTTTCTCCTTTTGAGACAAAGGCGGTCATTTGCTTCCGATCAAAGCTACAGTTTTGCTACGGACTGAACCAAGGGAAGGGAGGGACAATCGTCCTCACAGAGACTCGGAAAGAAAGGGAAAGAAAACTGTTTTTTTGTATAAGCGATGGAGTGGATGTGTTTCGATACTACTGCCATATACATAATATGGATGGGATGGCATAAATATGTTCGCAAGATGAAGACCTCACCACTTCTGCCATAGATGCAGGCGAAACGTCAGGAGAGAATGCTTCTGGAACACGGAAAAATCACTCAAGACTTTTTTTTTCTCGTATAGGAAAAGAGACTCGTGTCGAACAAAAGGCAAGGTCAACCGCAGCAAGAGAAGAAAAGCTTCAAGGAATCCCTCGCAGTTTTCGAAACCACGCTTTTGTCGCTTTGTTCGTTTCGCCTTTGAAAACCGAACGCACCCCGACGACACGACCGACCGGCAGACTTTTAAGCCTCAGAAAGGTCAGGTGAGGAGAACGAAATGTAGTTTATTTTGCGGTTATTATTATTATTATTTCTTCTTTTTTGGGGAAAGTTTTGTTTTGGGTTTTTGTTTTGGCCGAAATAGCAAATATCGAAACGTAAGCCCTCAGCGTCAACTCTTCTACCTTCTCGGAGCAACACACACCAATAATCCTCAAAAAAAAGTCTTTGTTTAGACTTCTAAAGTTCTAAAGAAAGAAAGGGAAAAAGACTTGAAAGAAACGAACCACAAAGTATTCTACCTTCACAGAAATCAAAGCTAAACAAACAAAATATATATATAAAAAAGACTATGGAACTATAGAAAAAAAAAAGAACAGTCAACTGTTTACGTCGAATGTTAAATTCAGGAGCTCAACGTTTTATTAACTAAAAGGAAAAATAAACCCTGTTTTAGAACCTCTTGTTCAAAAGCAACGTGTTTTGAGCAATCAACCAAAATAGTTTTTTTCCTTTTCCTCTTAAATCTCATTTATTTTCCTTCTTTTTTCTTCTGTAGCTGTTAAAAGGCATTACAGGGCTTTGTGTTTCACTGTGCTAGTTTGTAAAGGTGGTGTTTACAGAAGGCAAAGAATCATAATAATAATAATAATACTAAGAATAAATAATAATAAAATACCTTATAAAAATCAAGATCGTTGCCAAATAAAACAATTCTAGAGCACAAATATTCCTTTTTTTTTTTTTTGGGAGCGCGGCGCCCGCAGCCTGGGGAGGGGGGGAAAACAATGAACATCTTTGCTAATGTTTAGTCCTGTTCGACATGAATGGAATTGTTAATATGACTTATATAGACCCACACAGGTTTTATTTTTGTGTCTTTGAAAGAAAAAAAGAAGAAGTCCAAAATATTTAAATTTTATGGTCAAATGGGCCGTCAGCAGCGGCTGCTTTTCCCCCCCACTTTATATATTAAGATTTCTCATATGTCTTTTATTGTTCAAATAAAACCTAAGCTTGTGTGACCTCCAGTGCATATTAGACCATTCACTGTATGACAAAAAAGGGGGTGGGTAGGTGGGCGGAGAAGGCGGATTCAAAGAATTTGTGAATTTTTAATAAAACTAGAAAATCGGATGTTTAGATAACCTGTGTTTCATTCGGTGCTTTCAATGCGTTCTGTCTTTCTTTCTGACCGAAGGAAGGGAATGACGGCTGCTTCTTCTAATAGCATCCAAAGCGACCCATTGGTTTTGTCTCTTTGTCGCCTGGTTCTTTCTCACAGTGTTATGGTCTGCTTTCATATTCTGACAGAAGGGAAAATAGTAATATATGAGGATTTAAAGATCAAAATGCAAAGACTCTGGCAGAAGCCAGTAAAGGTGGTCCCAGTGGTGATGGGCACACTGGGTGCAGTGTCTAAGGTCTTGGCCTGCACTTAAACACAACCAGCGCTGACAAAATATACCATCTGCCAGCTGCAGAAGGCCACCATACTGGGATCTGCACGCATTATTCGCCGATACATCACACAGTCCTAGACACTTGGGAAGTGTCCGACGTGTGATCCAATACAACAGCCAGCAGAGTGATCGTGTCTGCTGTGGACTCATCTTGTTGTGTTTCAAATCATCATCATCATCATCATCATCATCATCATCATCATCATCATCTATCTATATATAAATGTAATGTTCGTTTGTGGGAGGAACATAACTGAGAAACCACTGGATGGATTGACATGAAATTTTGACACAACACACCTAATAGTCCAATGAGTGTCCATCACCCGTAAAACCACACAAAAACAGCAGAACAAACTTTAAAACCCCCCAAAATAAACCATATATACATATACACATGCATTCATATACATATGCACATGCACATATACATACAGACACACACACACACATATGCAAGCACACACATATATACACACACATACATATACACCTACACACACACACATATATATACATTCACATGTATACACACATATATGCATATACACAAGGACACATATATACACATTATACATATTGTGTATATTGTGGGGGTTGAGAAGGGCGGGGTAGAAGTACCAGAAATAAATAAATAAATATACACACATATATGCATATACACAAGGACAGACATATACACAATATACATATACACATATAAACACAGAAATACACAAATATCTACACACACATACATATATATGCAAGCACACACACATATACGCATATATACACACATACACATACATATACACCTACACCTATATACATATACATTCACATATATACACACATATATGCATATACACAAGGACACACATATACACAATAAACATATGCACATGTAAACATAGAAATACACAAATATATACACACACATACATATATATGCAAGCACACACACATATACGCATATATACACACACATACATATACACAATATACATATACACATATAAACACAGAAATACACAAATACACACACACACACATATATACATATACACAAATATATATACACACATAAACACATATACAGAGACAGGGCAACAGCAACATGTGGCAGAGGATGGCTAGTAATAATAATAATAATAATAATAATAATAATAATAATAATAATATCCTGGGCCCTTGGGAAGAGCCCGATATTCAGAATCCGATTTCAGACACTTGGACCTTATGTTGGCTAATAATATCCCATATTGGCTCTCTTGTTACATGCCTTTAAGGCAACTCCTATCATTATTATACCATAATAACTTTCTTTTTACATGGTTCTCAACCTGTGGGTCCCCAAGTGTTTTGGCCTACAACTCCCAGAAATCCCAGCCAGTTTACCAGTTTATTATTATTATTTGCCATCTTTCTTGTTAACTTCCTTAAAGCCGACGGCAACTTACAGTTACACCATCCTAATGTTTCCTTGGATGGACGTACAAGGGTTGAATGAAAAGTAATGCCTCCACCTTCGTTACTTGGGTTTGGATGGGAATATTTTAATAAATCAAACTCAGACGTAATCCTTAGAATATGCTCTTTAACTACCACTATTCACTTTTCCACATAATCACCAGACAATTGGATACATTTCTGCCAACAATGAACAGGTTTTCTGAAGCCGTCACGGAAGAAGTCGACACTCTGTTTCCGCAACCCATCATGCACAGATCTTCCGATAGCCAAGCAAAGCAATAATGTGACCCACGCATTCTTGTGAAATGCTGATTATGCTTGAAATTTCTCTCTGAGTGATATGACAATTGTCCTGAATCAACCTGTCAACCTTTTGCTTGTGAAACTCAGTGGTTGCTGTTCCAGGATGTCCAACTCTTTGATTGTCACACAAGTTTTCTGAAGCCGTCACGGAAGAAGTAAACACTCTGTTTCTGCAACCAGCGTCTCACAGTTCTCTCTTCATCAGAAGCATAATGATGTCCCCGCAGATCTTCTTTCATTATCAGGAACAGATGGAAGTCAGACGGTGCTAAATCAGGACTGTATGGAGGATGTCGTACAGTTGGTGAGACCCAGTCTCTGAAGTTTCAAGTCTGTGTGCTTTCATTTTAGGCATCAGCATCCTGGGTACCCATCGTGCACAGATCTTCCGATAGCCAACCAAAGCAATAATGTGACCCACACGTTCTTGTGAAATGCCAATTATACTTGAAATTTCTCTCTGAGTGATACGACCATCGTCCTGACTCAATCTGTCAACCTTTTGCTTGTGAAACTCGGTGGTTGCTGTCACAGGACGTCCAACTCTTTGTTTGTCACACAAGTCAGTTGTTCCCACCTCAACATCTTTAAACTTTCTCAGTATTCACATCAACGCAATCACCATAAACAACTTGCATTCTCTGATGAATCTCTTTTGGGGTGACACCTTTTTCTGTCAAGAATTCAATGACTGCACGTTGCTTAAGTCGCATTGACCGACCGTCTGCGAAAGGTTCCATAGTTCGCACTTTAAGAACACAACCATTCAATGCTAAGGCTTCCCGCCAAATGAAACTGTAGAGGAGAGTCTACTGAACAAGCCAGTACCTTCTTCATACATTACGGTACGAAGCAAAATTCCAGCTGACAGTTTATTTCCCTCACACATTACTTTTCATTCAACCCTCATATTCCTCCAGTGTGTACTTTGGCTTTTCCTTGAGGCTGAGAAAGTATGGATTTCAACAGGTAAGTAAGGTTTCGCATGCTGGTCTCCCAGCATCCTAAGACAGAAATCTCTACTCAACCCTCTGAAACATATCCTTTAGGAACCAGAGCTTTCGGGAAAGTTAATGTTTGGACCAAAAGGGGATTCCGAGATTTGCAAATTGAGAAAAAAAGAGTATTCCCAAACTTTGTGAAGAAGCTCCACGGAATAAGACTGAAACATGCATATGGAGGATGAGCGCAAGGCCACATCCCCATGCCGTTATGGCTTTCTTCTTGCGTTTGGGGTGTCTTGGGTCCTAACTGCAGGAGCCATTCTGACATTTATGCCCCTCCCAAGTGAATTATAGCACCACAACGCTGTGCATCGACAACTAAGGTGACACATAGCTTGTTTATGCATAAGGCTGTGTCAGAATGGGAGGCGGATGCTTTCCCTTTGGTATGAAGGAGTTTTTGTGGCCAATCGCTCCCTTTTCTCCAATGCTCCAGCCAAATTAAATGGTCTGCTTGGATGGCAAGGATGGGAACCGCCAAATCGTGCCCAAAATGCCATTCCCAGTATTCTTTACCACTGGGATTTGCAGTAYGAAGGATTAATTCTATCTGTTTTGTAGGTTTGCTGTTGCACATAAATGTGGCTACTCGTTTGAAATATGCTCACCGACGCATGGCCTCCCCATTAAGATTTACTGCCTCTCTCTATTGGGGGYGGGGTGGGGGGGGGGGGAGCATTCATCTTTCTCTCTGGGRGGTCAGGAATGCAATTTTTTTGCCCCGATCGATATATYGGCATTGTTTTGCGACAAGGTTGAATGCTTCCGTAAGGACCCAGATCGGCTATTGAATTCTCTGCGCGTTCCATGTTATGTTTTGTCCTCACATTATCCTACTTGGTTGAGCGCCAATCCTTGGCCACACTGAACAAATCAAGGCAACGTTTAGGTAAATATGAGGTAAATAATTATACAATCAGAGGCATACCTTGTTGATTGACGCCTCTGGCAACAAAGCTCTTCTGTTACAAATCCTTGTTGCTCTGCTCAGTGCTACTTTTCCTCCGTCTCCTCCTCCTCTGTCCAGCTGGAAACTCCTTTAGCAGCATGGACTGGGAAAATAGATTTCTTGTGCTGGAAGGCAGCAGGATAAACAAATAAGTGAAGGTTTGATCTGGGATTATTCTGTAGGCTGTCTTCAAGAGGTAAGGTAAATCATAGAACCATAGCTTCCTGCAGAATGCGTGAATAGCAACATATATGAAAAATATATATGGGAGAATATATGAATAGCAAAGAAGAGAGAAAAGGGAAAAACAGGTCAGTTTGCCTCATTAGCTCCCTGCAGTATGAGATACACATATACATATATACACACATCTATTCTGCCTTGGTTAGATCACATCTGGAATATTATGTCCAATTCTGGGCACCACAACTGAAGGGAGATGTTGACAAGCTGGAATGTGTCCAGAGGAGGGCGACTAAAATGATCAAGGGTCTGGAGAACAAGCCCTGTGAGGAGCGGCTTAAAGAGCTGGGCGTGTTTAGCCTTCAGAAGAGAAGGCTGAGAGGAGACATGACGAGAGCCATGTATAAATATGTGAGAGGAAGTTCTAGGGAGGATGGAGCAAGCTTGTTTTCTGCTGCTGAAAGGGTCTTTGAGTGAAATTAGCAATAGCTAAGCAAGGGACTTTGAATGAAATTAGCAACAGAGGAGAAAGGTACCCTTTCTCTGTAAAAAAGGAGCAACACGGAAGAAAATGTTTTAAAAACAAGAGGTTACATGTAGAGATCATAAAAGTTTGAGCTTACATAGGAAGTTGGATTGTGGTTAAGCGCAAAGTCTGCAGGTGCAAAAAGGTACTGTCCCTCAAAACGTCAAGGCAGAGGGGTTGGAAAGAGAGTACTTTCCATGACCCCCAAACCCTTGTATTACCCGAGTATAAAAGTTTGCAAAAACAGAGGAGGGGCGCGGCAGTCTGTGAAAGCATTTACAGAAGTAATGTCTGTTCGCCTCATGCTGATCAGCTTGAATAAACGGTGCCTTACCTGAACCTATTGGACTTTGTGGATTTCTTCTAAAAGGGACCCCGCACCCTAAACCCGTGATCACTTACACTGCCCTGGAGACTAGGATGCAATGGAACAATGGCCTCAAACTACAAGAAAGGAGATTCCATCTGAACATTAGGAAGAGTTCAGCAGTGGAACTATCTGGAGTGTGGTGGAGGCTCCTTCTTTGGAGGCTTTGAAGCAGAGGCTGGATGGCCATCTCTCAGGGGTGCTTTGAATGCAATTTTCCTGCTTCTTGGCAGAATGGGGTTCGACTGGATGGCCCATGAGGTCTCTCCCAACTCTATGGTTCTATGATTCTATATAAGCACACATATACATTCACATATACACACACATTTATATCTATATGTATACACATATATACGTATATACATATACACACATACGTATCTATACACATACATATATTTACACACACGCATATACATATACACACACATATATGTATATGTATGTATATACATGTGTATGTGTGCATGTATATATGTGTATATGTATGTATGCATACACACATATGTGTATATATGTATATACATATATATACACACACACACGTGTGTCTGTATGCATACATACATATACACACATTTACATGCAGACATACACATGCATATGCACACATATATGTGTAGATTGATACAAGCTTTTAAACAGAGGCTGGATGGCCATCTGTCGGGAGTGTTTTGAAGGCGATTTTCCTGTTTCTTGGCAGAATAACAAGTGTTCTTTGCGTCTCAATCAAGAGATAGAAATGGGATGATGGTGATCATAATAACTACAGAAACAATAATGTTTTAAACATTGGCTAGAACATTCGATTATAAAATATCAATTAAAACATTATTAACAACAATATAACCACATCCAGATCCAATAAAATAAAATACAATAAAATAATATAGAATAAACATAGTAAGTAAATATAGTAAGTAAAATAATATATAATAAATATAATATAGTAAATAAAATAATAGAATAAATACAATAAATAGAAAATAAAGTAATAGAATAAATACTACATAAAAGAATATAAATACAATAAATAAGAATAGTAGGTAAAATAATATAGAATAAATAAAATAAATGAAAATAAAATAATAGAATAAATAATAA